ATCGTGGGGCTCAGCCCCCCGGGTGCCCCCCAAGGGGGAGGAAGAGGAGGAGACAGGCTCGGACCGGGGGCTGATGCTGTCCCCCAGTATCCTGAAGGCCCTGGAAGGGGTGCAGTACATTGCGGACCACCTGCGAGCAGAGGATGCTGATTTCTCGGTGAGTGGGTGTCCCCAAGGGCTGGGGGGTGAGGAGGGGGTCCCCCACTTGTACCTCCATGGGGGGTGTGATGTCCATGCTGGTACCCCTAGTTGGTTCCTTGGCTGCTGAGGACCCAAAGCCAGGGAGAAGATCAACAGCCACCTCCTGGGAGATGCCCGATCCACAGGGTCATAGAATCATTGAATGGTTTAGGTTGGAAGGGACCTTGAAGATCATTTAGCCCACCCCCCCCTGCCATGAGCAGGGACACCTCCCACCAGCCCAGGTTGCTCCAAGCCCCGTCCAACCTGGCCTTGAACACCTCCAGGGATGGGGCAGCCACAGCTTCTCGGGGCAACCTGCACCAGGGGATCACCACCCTCAGAGGGAAATTTTCTTCCTAATATCTCATCTAAATCTGCCTTCTTGCAGTGTGAAGCCATTCCCCCTCGTCCTGTCACTCCATGCCCCAGTAAAAAGTCCCTCCCCAGCTCTCCTGGAGCCCCTTTAAGCACTGGAAGGGGCTCTAAGATCTCCCCGGAGCCTTCTCTTCTCCAGGCTGAACAACCCCAACTCTCTCAGCTTGATCAGTTGAGGGTTCCTTCCTCCCTCCTCCCACTTGTCATTCCTCCAGCTCCTGTCCCTGCCGTCTGCGGGGATGTTGGAGGTCCCTCTCCTGCCCATTGTGTCCTGCCCTCGGAGAGCGGCCATGGCCCAGTCTGCCCTGCTGGGACCCAGCTCAGAGGCTGCACCACTACTTTTAGCCGGGTGGTTTCAGAAAACCCTGAGGGGAGGATTAGCTCTGCCCCAAGCAGCCTCCCCAGAGAGGTCCACCCCCCAGCCCTGCCGCTCCAGGAATTTCCCGAGACACGGGGTATCTCCTCGCCTTGATGCAAATAGTGGATGCAGAGGAAGCCCCGGGTGGCCTCCTAACCCCAAGGGGTCCTCACAAACGGGGGCTGCATCCTCTGCCCTCGCTCACAACCCCTCTCTGCCCGGCAGGTGAAGGAGGACTGGAAGTACGTGGCCATGGTGATCGACCGCATCTTCCTCTGGATGTTCATCATCGTCTGCTTGCTGGGCACCGTGGGGCTCTTCCTCCCGCCCTACCTGGCAGGGATGATCTAGGGGCTGAGCCAGGCTGTGGTGGGGATGGCAAGGAGATGCACAATCCCTCCTCCCGGGGAGCGGGCACGGTGGTGCCCACATCCAGCTGGACCCTTGCCTCTCCCTGGGAGGACACGGGTGGACCATGGAGGACCCTTGGATGGGGAATGCAGGGTGAAGCAAGGGTTATGCCAAGGGGTGACCTGGGGATGGTGTGGAGGGATGGCTGCCTTCCATCCTACCTGGGGCAGTCGCAGCCATCCTGGCATCGAGAAAGGCATGGTACAGCTTCTCCAGTGCCCAAGCACAGGCTGGAGGCATCTAGGAGGGCACCTACCTCCTCGAGCTGCTGCAAGTCCTACCCAAAACCCAAGAGCTGCATCTGGTCATGACTCCAACGTGCTGGGCAAGAAGAGGGGACATCACAGCTGCTTTAGGACACATCCTGATGGCTGCGTGCTCAGGACCTCAGGCTGGCAAAGTCATGTATGACATAGGGCAGGCAATAACGCTTTGGATGGTCCATGCAGAAGGGACACAGCCATGGGAGGAGAGAGGTCCCTGCTCAGCAGACCCTCTGCAACCCTCTCCCGCACCATCCCACGCCGGAGCTCGAGGCGGCAAGGAGATGGGAACACCCAGAAACAGAGGTGGCTCAGAAGGGAAAAACCACCCTGAGGAATGGGATAACCCACCCAACCACGGCCAGAGAGTGCCCACGGACCCATGGAGCTCAGAGGGTGCTGCCTCGTGCCAAGGTGGGTGGACTCAACTGGTGTGGGGAGAACCTGCACTGCCAAGGTCCATCGCCAGCAATCCCTCCTCTCCATCCCAGGGCAGACCCCAAACCGACGGCCTCTGACAACCGCTGCAATCTAGCTATTAATTTCTAGCTTCCGTATACCCTAAAGGACCCACGCTTGTAGAGCATCTACTCTCCTCCATGCCCTGAGAGACACCAGGTTTTTTCCTGCAACGTTTTCTCCTCCAGGAGACCCGACCCACTGCGGCGCTGGCGGCGGTCTGAGAGGTTTCAGAAAAACACTTTTGTGGTTGCAGGAGCGAAACGGGTTGGAATAAACGGTGCCATCGGAGGGACCAGCACGTCCCGGGGGTGTTGCAGCCGCTGGCGAAGCCTTCGGAGGGGGTGGGATGGCTCAAGCGTGGGCACACGGGGCTGAGAAATGAGATGCGCCAGGGAGCGAGCGCTGAGGGGAGGTTGGATGGATGCGTGGGTGGGTGTACGTGTGTGTGACCACCCCCCTAACCCGCTACGCAGGGCCGGGAGCGCAGGGGTGGAGAAACCTCCCCTGACATGACTTGAATCCATTTCCTCTCACCCTATCACTTTTCACCAGGGAGAAGGGTTCAGCCCCCACCTCGCTACCCCCTCCTTTCAGGTAGTTGTAGAGGGTGAGAAGGTCTCCCCTCAGCCTCCTCTTCTCCAGGCTGAACACCCCCAGGGCCCTCAGTCGTTCCTCATAAGATGTGTCCTCCAGACCCCTCACCAGCTTTGTAGCCCTTCTCTGGACACACACCAACACCTCAATGTCCTTCTCGTAGTGAGGGTGGTTTCTGGTTTGGCTGGGGCTGTGGTACCCTGGGGTGACACAGATGTGGTGGCTGGAGGTGGACAGGACGGGGTGCCCGGCACCCTGGGTGCTGCCAGACCATGGCACGGCATCAGCAGACCCCACCGCGATGGGGCAGAGGGGGAACTCGCTCCCCTTCCCACGTTAATCCCCCGCAGCCCCCTCTCACCAGCACCCACCACCCATCTCGGCTCAGCCCTGCCTGGCTGATGGGGTCACCGGGGCACAAGATCTGGGGTGACCACCTCCCAGCACGGTGCTAGACCCCACAAGCATCCTTCTTTTTGGGGGATCCCATCTTCACGGCTGTGCTATCCCACATAAACCACCTCCCGGCAGCCTCCACCATGAACTGCCCCTCATTCCTGATGCTCTTCGGAAAGCGAAGCTCTGCAGATACTCTCACTAGCAGGCCGTGGGGCGGGAACAGGGGAGGTCCAGGACCCTCGTATGGATTGTGGGCTCAACGGGAGCGAAATGGGGCTCTGGGGAGGACGCGAATGCAGCAGATCCAGGTTCACCCCAGCAGGTCCCCCAGGGATGGCGCTTCTCCACGCCAACAAGACGGCTCAGGATGGGCAACGTGACCATTTCTCTCTCTAAGGAGGTGCTGGTGGTGACCAAGGGACTTGTCCCCAGGGTAGGGTGGGGGGTGACAGGCAAGCTACAGGCACAGCAAGACTTTGTGCATGGTTTATCTCAGCCAGAATGAACAGCGTTGTGGGAAGATGCTGGGGAAAAGCCCGAACCGTACAGTTTCCAACTCAAAGCACAAACCGAACAGAGACTTGGTTTGCCGTCGTCGCTTACACAGAGCAGCTCGGAGAAAAAACTCAGCTGGAAGAGGCACCGTTCTCCTGGTTTGTGTCACCAAAGGCTGCGGTCCGCGGGGTCCCATCCCTCCCCGTGCTCTGCAGGCTTGGGGCTGGGCACACTCCGGCCACGGGCGCCGGAACCACCGGCTCCCCCGCGACGCGGGGACCCCCCTCCCCTCATTAAATAAA